CAGGAATGAAATGCTTAGCAAGGACTCCAGCACACAGCAGGCATTTTTAAATGGTAGCTCTTATCTGTTCCCCCCACTCCCAACAAAAGTACAGGCAGACCCCCAAGGGGCATAGGACCAGTTTTAATAAGGAGGGGGGCAGTTCTTACTTGGAGGGGTAGGTACATTCACAAACAGTCTGAGGTTGGAATCTGAATTAGTTCTCTGTCTTTATTTCCCTGGCCCCGCCCTGCCTGCTCCCCACCATGCTCCCAAACTGGGAAGTTAAGGGTTAACTCTAGGATGCCCCCTCATCATCTGGATGGGACTGGAGCTGGGAACTTCCTGTTGCATTTTCCTGGAGTCCTTCCCCAGGCTGGCTGAGCCTGATTCTGGTCCTGTGGCCCTCAGAGAACCCCAGCACCTCTGTCTCTGGAGTGGGGACCCTGAGTGGTGAGTGGCAGGGAGTCCTGGGGTGCAGGCTGCCAGGACAAACATAGGGGTCATAGCAGCTTGAGAGAGAATTGGGGGCGGGATGGGGGTGAGTGTTCCAGGCCTTGATGGGGAATTAGGGAGCTGGAGGAAAGCCTTGGGAGGGCGTGGGTGGTCCATGCTGGGGAGGAGCCCAGAACCAGCCGGATCTGTGGACCTGAAGAGATGGGGGCATCAGGGAGGTTGCAGGACTTCCTATAGCATGGGCTTGCTGCACCCGCCAAAGAGGGAAAGGTAGGCTCCACGTGCCCCCAGGAGGACTGACCAGCCTCATCCACTCAGCGGAGCACTAGGAGCGGAGCCAGCCAACAAAGACAAGGCGCTCCTGCCAACTGTGTCCAAGGAGAAAGGACAAGTTCCTGGCTGAGGAGCCCCCTCTCTGGGCTCTGCTATCGTGTGGGTGGGTTTCGTGGCAGCAGCTCTACCCTGGGCTGGTCCAGTCTATTTGCCCCAACTCTCCGGGCTCCAAATTATGCTGCTCAAATATTGGAGGGTGAGTGTAGCGTTTCCCTTCTTCACCCAGCCCAACCCCCATAGATATGCATATTAACAAAGCCTTTGTGCTCTGAAGAAGTGGGGTGGGGGAGACTCTAAGGCCAACTTCCCTTGAATTTGAATCCCACTTCTTTCAAAAACCTTTTGGTGAGACCTCACCTGGAGGTTCCGGCACCCCTGGGTACCTAGGCCTGAAGACTGGAATTTGGAAAACCCTTACAGTTTCTGATTCACACTATGATGTTCTGGCTAAGACAAGGCAAATCACACAGGGCTGGAGGGAAACTGGGTCCTTTTCTGTTTCTGAGCTTTTGCACAGTGGTCAAGATCAGCATTCTCATCTTAGAGCAAATCTTGTCTCCACCTGGGGCAACAATGAAAAAATTACTCATCCTGTCTGAACATAGCCTTTGCAGTTGTCAAATGGAGAAAAATTTTCCCCATTGGCTGGAGTGAGATTCAGAACCTCCCAGCTGTTAATACTGGGTTCCTGATTACATGTGATTGGTTCTCTATTTTGCTCTTGCTACCAAAACACAATGAAACAAAAACCCAGTTTTTTTTAATATTTATTAAAGACTTTTTCTGCACAATTTTGTATGCATTCATCAAAAATTACAACTGCGAGGCAACCATTACATTCTCATTTTGTTCTTTCTGCTAACATTGAAGTCACCGCAAGCGCTGGGTGAACAGTTACTGAAATGAACCAGTCTGTATTCAAAGGCCAAGGGAAGAAATACACTCAACCAAAATTGTGGCACAGAGTGACACTGGAGGGGGAGAAACAGGTGGCTGGTGTGTTCTGGAGTCTCAGAAGTGAGGGGACAATGGGTAGAAGGAGCCAGAGATAAAAGGGAAAACCCCATATAGGGTCAGATGACATAGTGCAGGAAAGAATGAACATTAGAGAGGCTTGGGGGACACTGAGATGCTGGAGAGTCTGGAGAAGTGCTGGAGGAAGGAGGGGGAAAGACTAGAGAGAAGCAGAAAGCGGAGTAAGGGGAGGGAAGCTGGGGAGATGCAGGGCTATGGTGGGGGAGGCTGGGGAGATGGGGGCGGGCCTGGTTAGGTGGTCAGGATGTAGGCCTGAGTCTTTGTTTTAGCTTCTCACCCTTCTCCCCTCTCCTCTGAGTCTTTCAAATGAGCCCCATGTTCAAATTTTCCCAACTGACCGCAAAATATCTTTGAAAGCCTTTTTTAAAAATGAGGATATAATTAAGTTTCATGCATTTAGGTAGGACCAGACTTTTTAAAAAAATACAAGTTTTGTATGTTTTATTATTTCACGCCCCACTCATCCCACCTGAAAAGGAGGTTTAGAGAACCCTCAGCCCTTTTCTCTCCTGAGCCCCATATTAAGAGGGCTCAACAAACTGTTCAAAGCTCTGAACTAAACCGCCTTTCCCCTGGCTCCATTGACAAGGCTGGGTTACCTTCTTGGGCAAATGTTTGTACCTCTGAGCATTGGTGTCCTCGGCTATCAAATGGGAACAACTGTTAGCTGTGCTCATTTGTATTATTACCTAATAATACAAATAATAAGAATGACAATAGCTAGCCCTTATGCACACCCACCATCTACTCCATTTAGGTGGTGGAAAGTGATGCTGAAGGCTTTCTTCTCATCCCGGTCCCTGGGACATCCATGGGGTGGGGGTGGGGTGGCAGGTTCGGGAGAAGCTCACCTGAGCCCTGAGGCTGGAGAGCAGGGAGGGCAGAGAGTGGTTGGAACTTGGGTTTCCATATCCATAAATAATTCCTGCCTGCATTAAAATATGAGTGTTCCGAAGTTCTGTAACAAAAGTTCAGGCCTGTTCAAAAAAGGATAACTTTTCTGGGCTGTGCCGAAGGATTAAACAGTGTCTCTGTGAGCAGGACCGAACTTGGGAGCTGGGTTACCTCACAAAGGAGGGAGTAGCCAGCCCTACAGAGCCCTTAGAGGCTTGGGAGGAGAGGCGGGTGCAGTTGTCAGTCACGTGGACCCAGTGCCCCCTGGTGGCCAGTGAGAAGCGCTTTTTATTGCCAGACAGACTCACAGGGATGGATTCCTCCCAGAGGAGACCAAGAAAGACTCCAAAATTAAAAAAAAGAAATAAAGAAAGAAAGAAAGAAAGAAAAGGAAAGGAAATGACTGCCTCTCTTGCCCATTACCCAGCTCCCATGGGCACACCCACTACAGACCTCTGAAATGGGCAAGGCAGCTTTGGCCTGCCTTGGGGACACCTCTGACAAATTTATGCAAACTGTAAACCTATCTCACATGGAGACCCACCCACCAGGCCCAGTTCCTTGGTTTATCTTGACTTCAGTCTCTGGGGATACGTGAGGAGGTGAATAGACTGGAATAGCAGGTGGGAGGTAGGCCCTACATTGGTCAGCTGGGTGGCCTTGGCATTGACTGCTGAGAGCCACCTCCGCAGCCATAAAGTGAGGGTCAAGATGTCTAGTCAAAGAGAGATCATACGAGTGGGGACCCAAAAAAACCCAGAATTTATTTATTTAAAAACTGTGTATTTATTCTTTCATATTTAAGCTTCAGTCACCTTCAAAGTACTCTCCATTTGATGCAATACGCCTACCGAGACGTTTTTTCCACTGCTCAGAACAGTTTTTGAACTAGTTAGTTTTGATGCCTTTTAGTGCTTCTGCCAGTTTTTGTTTCACTTCCACATTGGCAAAATGCTTCCCTTTAAGGACTTTTTTCATACAAGGAAACAAAGAAAAGTCACGTGGGTGAATAAGGGGGGTGGAGCACAGTGATCATGAGTTTTGGCCAAAAACTGCCAAACACTCATGTAGGCAGGTGCGCTTGTAAATCACCCACCATGAAATGGGCGAACTCATTGAAAGAGTCTTCCAAAAAACTCACTGAAGCCAAACACAGCCTCTCACAACACCACCATCTGGTGCACTGATACAGATGGGTTCCCAGAACACTCACCTAATGGGGGAAGCCTATACTACAAGAGGCATGCCCTCCATAAGATAATGCTGGTTTTTTGGGGTCCTTCCTCATATGCATGAGCTTTCCCTCTAACCTTTTATCCTTAAAATTCTTAAACTGCCAGAGGAGTTCAAAGAGCAATTGCTGTAATTTTGCATGTTGGTCCATAAATATGGCTGAAACCTCAAGCCCCTTTACTTCCAAACCCTTCAATATCTACGAATAAAGACATTTCTTACATACCATAAAACTGAAGTCCCATCTCAGAAATTCATTTCCATTGTCATCTAGTGCCCCATGTTCAAATTTTCCCAACTGACCGCAAAATATCTTTGAAAGCCTTTTTTAAAAATGAGGATATAATTAAGTTTCATGCATTTAGTTGTGAGGGGTGTTAGTCTCTGGAGCAGCGCAGTGCGCCAACTACAGGCACTTGTCTTTTATGACATAGACTTAAGAACCTGGGCCAGCTGTTTTGGGTCATATTCTGTGTTTAGGATTTGTTTCATTGTTTCTTTGAGGTCATTTGATTTGTTCTCCTTCCCTACAATGCCCTTTATACTGGAAATTGGGTCTGAAGGCAGAATTGGATTGTGATGGAACATTTTTGGTAAGGACTCATCTTCGGTGGTGCCATGCTTTTCCCTGGCATGACATCAAGAGGCAGGAAAAGCCAAATTGCCCTCTCGCAGGGGAGTGCCAACTTTGATTGCTGGGGTAATGTGAGGCAAAGTACTAACTGCTGCAGGAGAGAACAGTAATAGAGAACTGTCCATTTTCTCTGCCTTTTGGTGCATTGGTCTGGCTGAGCCATTACCCATGACCAGTGTGAGAAACAATTCCTCTGCAGGCCACATCTTTAGGCATCTCTTAACACCACAGGTGTGGGAGCAGAGAGAGAGAGAGACCCAAGAGTGGAAACAGCTGTGGTGAGGTGTCCCCCAAGGTGAAGGATGCTTGTAGAAACTGTCTCTGCTGAGCGGGAGCCAGAGCAGCTTGGAGGAGTAAAACTGGAGGAGGAGGAGGAGGCTGCCAGCCAGGAGGACCCCAGGCGGCCAGAGATAAGGATCCGGCCGGAAGTGGCTCACCAGCTCTTCAGATGCTTCCAGTATCAGGAGGACATGGGGCCCAGGGCATCGCTGAGCCGGCTCCGGGAGCTCTGCAGCCACTGGCTGCAGCCGGCGCTGCACAGCAAGAAGCAGATCTTGGAGCTGCTGGTGCTAGAGCAGTTCCTCAGTGTGCTGCCCCCACACCTCCTAGCTCGGCTGCAGGGCCAGCAGCTCAGGGATGGAGAGGAAGTGGTGCTGCTGCTGGAGGGTATCCAGAGGGAGTCCATCGACGTGGGGCCACTGGTAAGAGTGTGGCATCCAGGTGGGCTGGACAGCTGGTGGGAAAGACAGGAACTTTATGGCCCCATTAAGAATCACTGAACATTCCACTTTCCTCCCTTTGCCAATTCCTTCTTAATCTCCTAACTCCTTCCTTGTCTGACTCTCACCTTTCCTTTGCCCTGTTTCCCTTGGGAGTCAGCAGGACATGGATTACCACCCTGCCTGTTGCCTAACATGGTATGTTTTTAACAGGATTTTAGTTTTAACGCTGGCAAGAATTGTCCCCGTGCAGACATCACCTTGGAAGAACAGGGGGATGCTTCCCAGGTCTCTATCCATAGCCCCAAAAAGGAATTGCCACCAGAAAAGCCTCCAGCCCCAGAACCATCAAAAGGACTCCTGCCAGCCCAGCCAGGGCCCTCCAAGTCTGCTGAGCTGGGGGCCTGGAGACGTCCTGCAAGTTCAAAGCAGCCCCTGAGCCCAGGTCCCAAGAGGACATTTCAGGCCCTGCAAGAGAGTGGTGAGCTAGTGCCCAGGGGAAGGTGGAAGCTGGGAGCCGAGGTGGGGAGAGAAGTGGGCAGCCTCTCTGGTTGACAGGAATAGATAAGAGCCAAGGTGTCTCTCACAGGGGCTTGGCGAAAAGTGCATGTCCTTACAGCCTCGTGGTGGATACGGCCGGCTTCTCACAGCTCTTTCTCTCTCCCAATGCTGTCAGCCCCCCAGGACCCTGAGCTGTGGCCTGAGGAGAACTCCCATGATCAGGAGCTGGCTGCTGTTCTGGTGAGTTAGACTTGTCCCCTTACTCCAGGACATTCTTCTGTCCCAAATGTTCATTGCCTCTGTAGTTTTAGCAAATCCATGTCTTCCTGAATTCAAGCCTAGAAAGTTCATTTCCCTCAGGTCTCAGAGCCTTGTTCCTCACTCGTGTGGGTTCCTGCCCCTCCTTTTACAGGAGTCCCTGACCTTTGAAGATGTCCCAGTGAAGAACACATGGCCTGTGCACCCCCTAGGTAAGAACCCTTCCCAGGGCTTACAACCACTGAAACCTCTTTCTTTTTGTTGGGATGTGATTCCTGAACCTCAAGACCCTCCAGATATTTGGACCTCTCTGGCTAAAAATGGGCTATTTTCATGAGAATATATAAATACTTTCTGGACAGACTAATATCCATATATTATACACACATATAAATATGGGTATTAGTCTGTCCAGAAAGTATTTAGACATGTAATATGAAAAATAAAGGCATTTATTGAAGAAAGTACAGATACAAGAAACATGGTACATAGGAAACATGGTACATGATGCTTCAGTCCCCTTCAAAGTAGGCACCTTGGGACCTCACATAGTTCTCCCAACTGCCATCAGCTGCCCCATCGTATTTTCCTGAGTCTCAGTAATGGTCTGAAATCTCTTCTCTTTCAAAGGTGATTTTAGTTTTGCAAAAAGACAGAAGACAGTAGTTGCTGGGTGCCAAATCTGGGTTATAGCAGGGCTGAGTCACTGGGGTGATTTGATGTGTGACCAAAAACTCTGCACAAAACCTGATGCATGAGTAGGCGTGTTGTCATGATGAAGCTGCCAATCACCAGTTTTCATAACTGCAACCTTCTGAAATCATCCAAATAGTTTCTGCAGAGGAATGTTCAAGGTTAACTCAAAATTTGATGCAGAGTCACTGCTCTACTCTCTCAGTCATTGTGAATGCAACAGCCACACAGTACACACGCTCACTCAACAGCATCTACTGCCCCCACTGACTAGTACAGTGAAGTCATCTGTGTTCACACATGCACACTCCGGTCTACTTTCCTTGGCTGCCAGGTTACATCAATGCCCCACAAGTCATCCTCATTATGTTAACAATGGTTGGATTTTCTTTGGACAGATGTCATATATATAGATATATAGCTATAGATACACACACACACACACACATACACAGGGTGGGGCAAAATGTGTATGTGAAACACAGGGTTTATTTCTCTATTTATTATTGTATTATTTTCATACAAACAACTGTAAACCTATTTTTACGCTACCCTGTATATATTCAAAGACTTACTGTGTGTGGTCTAATCATCAACCCCTTTAACTCTGAGCTTTTAAAATAGATGGTCATGGGAGTGCTTGCTAATGGTATGGGGTTTCCATTTCCAGTGTTGCACAACATTGTGAATGTATCTATGGACAGGAATTGTACACTGTTGAACAGTTACAGTGGTAAACTGTATGTTACTTGTTTTTTACCCCACACCTTCTGCCACCCACCAGCTTTGCAGGATCCTAGGTTTCTTTCCACTTCCAGGTAATGACATATTGGCGATTCCTAGGAGCACTGGGAATAGGCCTGACCAATCCTGTTTTTTGCTTCTTTTACAGGATTTGGAAGCAGAACCCCAGACGAGACGTTTCAAGAAGAGCCCAAAGGGGTTGCCTGGCCTGCTGCTGTCTCGGCAGAGTCTCAGGAAGGTAGTCCAGGGGTGACAGAAGAGCCCCGTGCACAGTCACTTGGGCAGGGTCCTGGAGTGAGCAGCTCCCATGAAGGAGAGTCCCCTGATGCTAAGAGTGATGCTGTAGTGGCCAAAGTGGCCGGAGGGGCCTCCCAGTCGGAGCCAGAGACGAAGTTCATCTGCACAGAATGTGGGGTGAGTTTCACGAAGCTGGCCCGCCTGGAAGGGCACCAGCTGAGGTCTCACCCCGGCTCGCGGTCCTTCCCGTGCTTGTGCTGTGGGAAGACCTTCGGCCGCAACTCTATCCTCAAGCTGCACATGCGCACGCACACTGATGAGCGGCCACATGCCTGCCACCTCTGCAGCCACCGCTTCCGCCAGAGCTCACACCTAAACAAGCATCTGCAGACACACTCTGAGCCTGCCTTCTTGTGCGCCGAATGCGGCCAAGGCTTCCAGAGTCGGACCAGCCTCCTCCAGCACCTGCTGGCGCACGCCCAAGACCAAAAGGCACCCTGCACCGCGGAGACCAAGACCAAAGCTCCAGAACTGACCGTAGTCCTGTGCTCACATTGTGGCCAAACCTTCCAACGCCGTTCCAGCCTCAAGCGCCACCTGCGGATTCACACCAAAGACAAGGGCCACCAGCGCTCCGAGAGCTCGGACAGCATGCGCCGGAGCCCTGAGCGCAGGCCCTATGTGTGCAGCGACTGCGGTAAGGCTTTCCGGCGCAGTGAGCACCTGGGAGCCCACCTGCGTGTGCACACAGGCGAGCGGCCTTTCTCCTGCCAGGTCTGCGGCCGTAGATTCAGCCAGAGCTCCCAGCTGGTCTACCACCAGCGGGTGCACACCGGCGAGAAGCCCTATGGCTGCCAGCAGTGCGGGAAGCGCTTTGTGCGCCGAGCTAGCCTCGCCCGCCACCTCCTGACCCACGGCGGCCCAAGGCCCCACCGTTGCACCCAGTGTGGCAAGACCTTCAGCCAGACTCAGGACCTCGCTCGCCACCGGCGCAGCCACACTGGCGAGAAGCCCTGCCGCTGCAGCCAGTGCGGTGAAGGATTCAGCCAGAGTGCCCACCTAGCGCGCCACCAGCGCATCCACACAGGGGAGAAGCCCCACGCCTGTGACACCTGCGGCCACCGCTTCCGCAACAGCTCCAACCTGGCCCGCCACCGCCGCAGCCACACCGGTGAGCGGCCCTACGGCTGCCAAACGTGCGGCCGGAGTTTCCGGCGCAACGCCCACCTGCAGCGGCACCTGGCTACCCATGCAGGCACCGGGGACGAGGCGGTGTCCGGGCAGGCCGAGCCCCCGCAAGAGTGCCTAGAGTGTGGCAAGAGCTTCAGTCGTAGCTGCAACCTACTGCGTCACATGCTGGTGCACACGGGGGCTAGGCCCTACTCCTGCACACAGTGTGGCCGCAGCTTCAGCCGCAATTCCCACCTGCTCCGCCACCTGAGAACCCACTCCCGGGAGACCCTGTACTAGCTTCGCTCAGGTTCTTCCAGGCCTACCCTGTGGGCCTCTCCCTGGCTTCCTCTGCAGCCAAGGCCTGAAGGAGAGGTCCCTGTCCCCACCCCCGCATCCCTCTGGCCCCAGTTAACCCTGCATTAGTTCTGCCCTTCCCGAGAGGCCTCTCTTCCTGGCCTCAGGAATGTATTTCGAAATGCCCAAGTAAAACAGCCTTTTTCTTTTTTTTTTTAATGATTTTGTATTTAAGCACTGATTTTACAAAATGTGGTATACAGATGAACTACATTTACACCTTAAATTGTTCTTGTAAATTGTCTTCAAAATACATTGCACCTAAGATGTTTATAAGATTTTATATGGATTTTAGAAGAAATGACACGGAAGCAGCTGCTTTTTCAATGAACTTAGCCAGTTTCACATCTCTTTTTGTCAGTCCACCACAGTCACGCGAGGTGATTATTATACGGTCTTTGTTGTACATATTAAACCGTTCCCGGTGATGATTTATCTTCTCTACTTGTAGGGCAACTCGAGTCATGGAGCTAATGACTGATTAAAAGTTTTGAAGGAGAACTCTTTGTCGATGGCATCTCTCATTTAATTCCAGCCATCCTGCTGCTCCATGGTCAAGCATAACTGGTTCCTCCCCTCTGCTCTTGTGGCCATGAGGCTTGGGCTCCAACCACCCAGGGCCACCAACAATCTCTGTGTTGCCCTCAATACCACCATCATGGCCACTGCAGAGGCCTGTCCTAAAACAGCCTTATTAAAAGCGGTTCTTCTTTCTTTTTTTTACATTCACCCTAATGCCCTCTGCTCTCCTCCCCACTGTGTCACACTGTGGTGGCTTTCTCCCTCCCCCACCCCGGTGCCTTCAAAGGCAGGCTGGATGGGAACAGATCTGAGGAGCATTCTCCCACCCAAGAAAGGCCCAGAGTGGGGTACGTATGAGAGGGAGTGGCCAGATGTCACAGCCAGCCATGGAGAGGGCCAAGGACTCACCTTGGAACTTATTCTCTGGAGTCGATCTTAATCTGTGCTGTCCAATATAGTATCCTCTAGCCATATCTTCCTGTTTAAATTAATTAAAATTGAATAAAATTAAAAATCACAGACTCTGGATGATTATAGAAAACCTGTTGTTTTGGAATGTTGGTCCCTAATTCAAATGGAAAATGCTAGCAATTGAAATGAAAACCACCTGCTGCCAAGTTGGTTATCAGTTGGGGGCCCATAACTACCCATAAACCTCTAAACCCAAAGCTGAATTGTCAGTGCCCCACCTTCTTTTTCCTACTCATCAGGTATTCCTGGCCTGCCTCCCTTTCCTATGGACATTTTTTTTTTGTTTGTTTTTGGGTAAAGCGGAAACTTGTACTTAACAAGAGTTAAAGTTCATCATACATTAACCAGCTACTAGAGCTTAGTATCTTTTACTTTGGTGGTACAATACTGGTAGTTTTCTCTCCCTCTCTCTCTCTTTCTCTCTCTCTTTATTTTTTAAGATTTTATTTAATTATTTTTAGGGGAAGGAGAAGGGAAGGAGAAAGAGGGAAAGAAACATTGTGAGAAACATCATTGTGAGAAACATCCATAGGTTGCCTCTCTTAACTGCTCTGATTGGGGACAGAAACCTAGACATATGCCCCAACCAGAAATCAAACCAGGGGTTTTTGACCTTGTAGAACAATGCCCAACCAACAGAGCTACACCGGTCAAGGCCTGGTAGTGTTCTCAATCAGGAATAAAATCAAAAATAGAAGAGAAAAATATTTGATCAAAAGAGAGACAACTGTATAAATGTCTACTTGTACCAGAAGTGTCTAAGGCAGTGATTTTAAAACTGCCACAAGAAGCACACTGGTAGGCCACAAGATTTTTTAAAACATGCTGTACCTGACTATTTAGTCAGGGGCACTGGACTCTTTTCCCTTAGATTGTCACATAAAGAAAAATGACAACAGTCAACACAGTAGCTGTTTGGTGTGAATGAATCAAAATTATACCTAATTTTTGTCAGGTTGGCAAAAAATATAGCATATTTTTTGGTATGCTGCAGAATTTTAGTAATTAGTTTATGTGTGCCATGATATGAAAAAGGTTGAGAATTAGTGGTCTAAGGGACAAAAATTAAAGGCATGATGCAGAGAGAATTGAGGATGAAGAGGAATTAAGTTCACTAACTTGAGCCCTGGCTGGTGTGGCTCAGTGGACTGAGTGTCGGCCTGTGAACCAAAGGGTCACCGGTTTAGATTCCCAGTCAGGGCACATGCCTCGTTTGTGGGCCAGGTTCCCCACTAGGGGGCGCTCGAAAGGCAACCCGACACTGATGTTCCCCTCTCCAAAAATAAAATAAATAAAATCTTTAAAAAAAAATTCAGTAACGATGACAATGACAGAGAGGAAAACAAAACAGTCAGTTCCATATTGATAACAGGGATTAAAAGAAGCAAGAAATAATCTCAAAGAAAAAATGTCCAAAATATTGAAGTGGCTTTATATTTGCCTTAGACACTGACTCAAAACTAATAACTAACATGGTAAGGAATATGGCTTTTGTGGGCATCACATTCCTTATCCTCAAAGTGAAAGCTCTGGATTAGATTAGGGATATCAAATGCAATCCTATTCCTTTGGCCTTCCTTTCTAGCACACAGGACAAGCAAAAAATGAAGAGATTTCCTTGCTGAGACTAGATAGAGTGTGGTGACCCTTCCGTACATATCCAGGTAGCCACTACCCATTAACCCCTTTGTTGCTTAGATTGGACTCCATTTGCTTTTAGTCTGATACTATATTACATGCCTTCCAGTGATAGAGTGCTATATTCATATAACAGGTGTACTCATAATAGAATTTTAAAATGTTTCATTTGGAAATTTCTTACAGTTTTTGAAAAGAAATATAAATGCTAGTAGGATCAATAGAAATCAGTTTAATTTATAATACAGTCAAAGATAAATTCTCAATTAGGTCATATGATTAGCATTATCAATTCAAATTTAACACCTACAGAAATCCTACAGGCACACTGTGAACTAATCTATTATTTGTAATACAGATTACACAATGGTGTATTTCCACATAATTTACTTAGGTCCAAGCAAAACTTTTCAAATAATAGAACATTACCAATGTCTACAATTAATTAGGATACACAAATGTATTGGATAATACATAATATACAAGCTGATTTACTACTTTTAAAATGTAATCATAAAGCAGAACAAACTACAAGCCCCTTGAGTGAACTCAAAGATTCAAGTAACTAAGAGCATAACCACAACATTAGTAATTGAGACAGGACAAGTGGAATAGGGCCACCGACAGACAGCTGAACAAACTGCCCTGGCAAAGAGCAATTTACAGCCAGATACAGATGGTCACCTCCCTAGAAGTAACATCTGGGCCCCCGTTGTGTTTCAGTTGTGTGTCCAGGATGAGAAAAGCAGCAAAGCCAGGTGCGCAATGCCAGGACCAGCCGCTGTGACTAATGACCCCCTGCCCTCATTTTGATCAATCACTGGAGACCACAGCCCTGAAAGCATACCTGGAAAACTGATGAATATTCTACTATGATCTCTTCTAAACTTCCAGCCAAAGAAAGAAAGAAAGAAAGAAAGAAAGAAAGAAAGAAAGCTTCCAAACAAAGAACCCAGCTCCTGCTCTCACTCCCAGGAGCATGCTCTCACCTTTCCCTTCCTCCTCTTCTGCTCCCACAGGGATGCATCTCCTAAACTCTAAGGGACTCCATAAGACATGCAACCAGGGGAGCAATGGGCAGCAGCGGCTCATCCCAGGCTAACCCCTTAAGTGTCTCCAAAACCTCCTTTTCTCTAACTTCTCAGTGATCCAAAGCAGCCCCACCTACTCTTTCTCCTGTTGCTTCTTCTGTCCTAGGAACTTCCTTTTTCACTGTCCCCAGCTTTAATAAATGTACTCTCAAAATCACCTGGACTCATGTTGTAAAATCTATGGTTGATTAGTATGCATGAAATTAAGGGCAGACCTTTGGCCACTATGCGCTGGTCCCAGAGGCCAGGAGGCCAGGAGGCTAGTGCCAGAAAGGCTACGACCTCCTTAGCTCTCAGCCACCCCTCCGTGCTTACCCCACCCTACCCAGGGGCTGTGTATACACATGGAAGCACCAAAATCAAGGGAGAGCAGAAGTGAAGGAGAAGCACAGAGGGCTGTGACAGGTGCCTCATACTCACCTGATTGTTATTCTGACATTGAGCAAACGTGGTTTGTGAAAAAAGGTCTCATTGATGTTGTTCTGGAGAGAGGAGTGTGGGTAGGTGGGTAGACCTGCTCCTGCCTGCTGTGGTTTGTGGTCTCCACTGTGATCTTCATAGGAGCCAAGAGCTCACCTCAATAACCTGGCCCAGGTAACTAAGTTTTGGAGGAGAAGCAAGACCAAAACTCACCTCCAGATCTTCCAGGGGTGTCCAACCTGCAACCCATGGGCCGCATGCAACCCGAGATGACTATGAATGCAGCCCAACACAAAATCATAAATTTATTTAAAACGTTATTAGATTTTGTGTGTGTGTGTGTGTGACTACATGTCGTAATGTATTTAATGTATGGCCCAAAACAACTCTTCTTCTTCCAGTGTGGCCCAGAGGTGCCAAAAGGTTGAACACCCCTGTTAGGCCTAACCTGACCTATTGGGGAGAAAAAAAACAGTTGGTTTATGTTGCCCCGTGCTTCCCTCACTTTCTGTCTTATCCCCTGTTCTCAGTTCGCCATCTCCCCATAACTAGTCAAGCCATGTGCCTGGGGACCAGGTGCCCGGCATTCCTGCTCTGTCATCAGTATACCCTATGACTTGGACACCTCCCTCAGGCTCCCTGGGCCTTTGTATCCCCCACCTGTGCACTCACCGACCACACAGCTGTGAATTTTGTCCAGTGTAAGAATGAACCAACCAGAGGTGGCACCTTCATCATTATCAACATTGTGAAACCACCCCACCCAGATTATGCAGAGCATGGGAGTGGGGACATAACCCA